AAGACTAATCTTCTGATATACATCTCATTCTGAACGGCCACGGCCACTAAGTATCCTTCCCTTGTGAGATTAGTCTATGCGGTCTGCTAATTATTGTTCTACAATATCAAGCAACAAGCAAGACGCTTTATTATAAGAACATGTACTCGTCATTATAAAGCCTTTGCGCAGCTGTTTTGAGTTAAGGCTAAAATTTTATCTATAGGCATGATAGAGAAACACGTCCAGCCTTTTAGAAACCTTCGCAATTACGATGGGCAATTTGGAATCAGCATTTGTTATTCTGACGGTATTCACCTCTTATCAAATCGTCACTTCGATCAAGTATCTTTCTCATTCAAAAACTATATTTGTTGTAATCGCAGTCTTTCAATGAAATTCATAATAATATTACAAACCTGGCTCCTCTCCCCATAGCTCGATAGCCCATTTCTGGGTAAGGGCTCCGACACGTGTTCAAATACTGTGGCCATCGCCTTTGCATTATCAGCCAGTTGTTACCCAAGTGTCTCGCGGTGTGTGCGCAGACTACAGCGACTAGGCATAACAGAATAGCGCCTCCAACGAATCCTGAACGATACTAACTTCTTCTTGTTAAATGAAGGCTGAGAAAACATGGTAAGGAATTAGCTGGAATAAGTAATTCACGGATGAAAAAGTTACGTTCCACATACTTTTATTAATCTAAATATCAAAATGGTGGGGATTAAATAAGACCGCAGCTGATAATGAAAACATACTCCCAATATTAATACATCTGGACCGTTTCGCAAAGAAAATCGAACCTTACAGCTGCGACATTGATAGACCTACACAAGTACACTCATTTGACTAGAAACCCGAATAATTTCCACCGGTTTCATGAAATTCTGAACCTCCAATTGTTGGCATGCCGTTAATAATATCATTAGGTCATATTGAGAGTTTTCCATTTTTGCATTCTTAACTCTATGGGCTGTATGCATGGGACCCCGCCAGGAAGGGGTCCTCTGGGGGGAACTATCCTTCTCGGGGAGGAGAGG